TGATGAAGAAGTTGCTAGACACGTATTCCAGATTGGGTCTGAAAATCAGTAAAAGTAAAACAGAGTGCATGGTTTTCAACGCTCCAAATTTGCCTCTTGAAATTGATGACTGGACACTAAATGTCAGTCAGTAGTTCAAGTACCTTGGATAACCTATCTTCAAAGGTAAGTAGTGGGGTTGAAAACGAACATGAAATAAATAATGGGAAAAGAATAATAAGTTCGATAAATTCAACCAATAAATTCAATTCGATAAATACAATGGAGTAAAGAAATAAGATTGGAAACTTTTTTTATTTTTATTTTTTTTATTGATGATATTTACAACTGTATTACAAGTAAAAATACATTCAGTAAATGTGAACAAAAGAATAAAATAGCATGAAGTCACTTGTTGAGTAACTACCCACTGGTAGCACTCTAAAAATGTATTTACAAAAGGAGATCTCGAGGCCATCTTCTTTCCAGACGCCTCAGAGGGAAGATTGGAAACTAAAAAGAAGATATACCATTCCTTTGTAGAGAGCGTAGCCACTTACGGATCAGAAGGCTGGACACTGACAAAAAAGATGGAAAATAAGTTGCTTTCCATGGAAATGGATTTCTGGAGAAGAAGCTGTGGCATATCCAGAATCGAGCGGATCCCAAGCGCAGCTATTAGAGACAAGGTCGGATGTCAAAAGAACATCCTTCACCTGATCGGAACCAAACGGTTAAAGTGGTATGGCCACTTAATGCGGATGGATGAGAACCGTTGGCCAAAGAAAATTTATACCTATATGCCAACTGAAAGAAGGAAGCGTGGAAGGCCAAAGAAGAAATGGATAGAGGACGTGGAGGAAAGCATGGCAGCAAGAGGGCTTCGTGAAGGAGATTGGATGAACAGGGAGCAGTGGCTTTTGGGTGTTGGGGATATGACTCCTTAAGTTGTATAAAACCCAAATATAATATATATATATATATATATATATATTAAGTAAGACATTGGATAAAATAAAATAAACTGTAGTACATTTGCATACCATATTTTTTTTTAAATTATAGTTCGCCCAACTTTATTTTTATCAATACTATAACTTGATAAACTTCGAACTAAAGTAAATATTTGATTATAGTGGATTGATGGTTGATTGTAGTGAATATTTGAGGAGAAGTTGGTTGGGATTTTCAGTAAAAATACTAAGTAAAAATTAACAATTTATATTCTCTTTGTGCCGAAGTTTTGGCCTAAGTTTCAGGCAGGCTTTAATCAGTCAGAGCGATACCTAAAGACCTGAAATCTTTATCATTATTCGTTTCGAATCTTTCGAACGGATCACCCTGATGAAGGACTGAGACCTAGGCCAAAACGTCACCACTAAGAAAAAATATAATTTATTTATTTTTACTTCGTATTTTGACTGAAAAATCAAACCAACTTCAATTAAATTTTTCATTATTCGATATCGAATAAAAAAGAATGTTTTAAATTTTTAAATTCTAAACTAACATATTCATAATATTGAAATTTCATTCCAGAAATAATCAATTAATATTAGCACCTCTTAATATTTATGGTTAAAGAGAACCCGGCGTTGAACTCTGTACTGATTCCAACCCCGCGTGTTTGAACAGTACTGCGGGTTCAATCTTACGATTCTCAGGCGTTCATGAATGACTCACTGAATGACTTCACGACTCTCACTGTATTCTTGAAAATATATCGATAACGGTATCGATACAAGGCTTTCTGTATGCGATAAATCGATATTACAGCATAAAACATAACTGTATCGAACAGAAAATGTAAAATAATAATTTCTTTATATTCTGACAGACCAAATTAACAGTATTAGTTATAGCTCCCCATGCCTGTCATGTCATCATTTCATGTATCGCCATCACATTTGCTAATTGTCAACAATAAGTTGACAGGCGCAAATACATCTTTTATAGACAAAAAAAACAATATTAGTAAACGATATTTGACTTATAATATTCCAACGTAAAATGATCATGTTGGTAGCAGACGAAATTGACAAACTTGGACCATATTTTTTAAGTGAAAAAAAAAAAAATAAGCCGCGTATTACACTTTTTTTGTGGAGAGTGAATTAGATTGAGTCAACAGATCTTCGATGTGTAACGCTCGGGTAAGATCGGCTGTAATCGACTATTTGAAGTGTTTTTTCATATGGATTACAATATCTCAAAAACTAAAAATCGAACCTACATACTGCAAGAGAATTGTTAAGAATTTTATACTCTCTGTAATGAGCTATTATTCATAATTTTATCATAACGTGACGCCGTGTTATAGAGGCGAAAAGGAAAAAATAGTTTCGATAACCAAATGATAACGAGTTTTATTGAAATGTGGATTACAATATCTCAAAAAATTAAAAATAGGACCTGCATACAGCAAGCGAGGAAATTTTTTAGAATTTTTCCTCTCTGTAATGAGCTATTATTCAAATTTTTATCTGAACGTGACGCTATGTTATAGAGGCGAAAATGAAAAAATATTGTCTAAAACCAAATGATAACGAGTTTTATTGAAGATATGGATTAAAATATTTCAGAAACTAAAAATCGAACGTGCATACTGCAACCGAGGGAATTGTTCAGTATTTCATCTTCTCTATATTGGGCTATTAATCAAAATTGTACCTTAATATGACGACGTGTTATAGAGGCGAAAAGAAAAAAATATTGTCTAAAACCAAATGATAACGAGTTTTATTGAAGATATGGATTAAAATATTTCTGAAACTAAAAATCGAACCTGCATACTGTAAGCGAGGGAATTGTTTAGAATTTTATTCTCTCTGTAATGGGCTATTGTTTATAATTTATATTTCATATTATTAAACTATCCTTGTTGATGTTTTCACTTATATTGTGTGGTCTAATGCCCATGCCTTTATTTAAATTTAATTATTTTATCTAATTTAAATTACCTTATTAAATGTTTTTTTCATTGAATCTAAAAAAAATTATCAAAATAATGAGGCTGTAATTTTAGATTTGGAATATACAGGGTGTTTCGTAATTGCACGTCGCTATTTTAGGTATGTGTTCACTAACACAAAATAGACAAAAAAGTTCGTATTAACATATATCTCAAACTCATTTATTAAACAGATATCAAAGGTTAAAGATTTATTATTTATTGTTAAAATTTATTTATTATTATTACAAAATTTAGAATAACTGTTCAAAGGGGCCTCGGTGTTGTTGAATGCAACATTCAGCACGACGAATCCATGCTTCTCTGGCTCTAAGTATAACATCAGGATGGTGCTTGATAGTTACTGCGGCTTCCACAATATGATTTCTTAGATCATCATATTGCATCATACTGCAACTACTGTCATTGCTTATCGTTCATTTGTTTATCAGGTGATTGAAACCTGTTATTTAATATTAAACACGTTAAACTTTGTACAGTCACTCTTAATGTAGTAAATAAATAATAAATCTTTAACCTTTGACATCTGTTTAATAAATGAGTTTGAGATATATGTTAATATGAACTTTTTTGTTTATTTTGTATTAGTAAACTCATACCTAAAATAGTGCCGTACAATTACGAAACACCCTTTATAGGAGGTTATCGAAGAGGAGTGGGAATATACGCTTTAAAAACTCCAAAACACAATTGAGAAAGGGAGAGGGTGGAAGATATGTGATATATATGCCTCACTATATTTCAGAAATTCCAGCGTCCCTCTTTAGACCAAATGAGGCTCTTTTTTCATTCTCGAGACTAGCAGCACCAGTTCGAATCTGACCTTAGCGGGTACAATCCTTCCTTTCCCAGTTATGCCAGAAATGGCCAAGCATGAGAAAAAAAAAAATCTGGTTTGTCCACTCACACGACTTTCCTACCCATTTCACAAAAGTTTTTATATCTTTACATATGTTCGTGAAGAAACAAAAAAGAATTGAACTAGATTTATTTTCCTGAAAATTGATCAAAGAAAAGATTTGAGTACGATTTATTTGATAAATTAAAGCAATGTAAACCGGCTTAAGGTAGATCAGTGTAAAAATTTCAATGCTCACTAATATTGCTGATCAAAAACTTTTTGCCATAGCTTAGTATTGTCAAACAAACATTTTTGTTAAAAGTAGAGAAATGAAAAATGAACGATTTTTATATGGCTTTGTATGGAATTTCATTACCTTTCCAACAGCGGTTTTTTCAGGGGGCTGTGAAACGTATAGATCCGTCGAAAACCGCATATCGGAAATTTGACCCGATTGCAATACTTTTCTTATCTAGTATAGCTAGGAAAGTAATAAGTTAAAACGTGTGTAAGAAATAGAATAATCTGTATCATCGCTAATACTGGTTCGATTCCGATGATTTTTTTTTGTTGGTAATTTATTTACCTTTTAAAAGTTTTATTATAAATTTCACAGTATAATATATACTTAGAGAGTTAGGCCCCATAACATTTTTCTTTTCTTTATAAATTTTTTCCTGTTTTTTTTTTCAGGAATTTAGTCTATATATGAAAATTAAAAGGACAATTATTAGAACGTTATAGAAAAGTTCATTAGAACCGTTTTTGCGCAACAGTCTATAGAAAATGTTTTTCATTTATTGCGCAAGCTGTTGCGCATGCAGCACCGAATTTCTGTCACGTGCATCAGTAGTCAAAACTCTACAAAATAAAAAAAGAAGCAACAAAATCGGTTCAGTAGTTCGCGAGAAAATCTTGGCACAGACAGACCAATGGCTAAAAATGTGTTTTTCGGACTCAGGGGCTCTGAAACGTGTAGATAAGTCGAAAACCGCATATCGGAAATTTGACCCGATCGCAATACTTTCCTTCAATATTGATAGGTAGGAAAGTAAAAAGACACATTATCTTCAGTAAATTAATTAAGTAATAAGTAATATTTTTTGGATGATGAAATATAATATTTCTTGATCTGATATATGTTTATCTTTGTTTTCCTGCAATTATAAAAATGTATACATGTGTTTATTATTTTTATTTTATTTTTAGAATAAATATCAACTGGATCCTAAAGATGTCCACTTGATAGGCCATAGTTTAGGTGCTCATACGGCTGGCTACGCAGGGCAGAATGTACCTGGTGAGTCTCTTAACTTTTCTACATTAAGGATCTGTTTATTGGATACAGTAATTTATTAATTAATTATATATTAGTTATTAGTAATTTATTAATGTTGGTTATCAACATTGGATATGTTGTTGAACCGATGTTGATTATCCTTAACAACGTGTTAAGTTATCATAAATAGCTAATCTAACGTTAGACTTTTATCAAATCTTTAAACGATGTTAAAGTTATCCACATTCCTGTCCACCAGTACTCTTTAATTCCATCCAGCTTCCTTACTCAGACACAGTCCGGTATCTTGGCTTTTATTTAGACCGAAGACTAACGTGGAACCCGCATACTAGACTCAAAAGACAAGAACTCAACCGACAATACGGCAAACTATACAGACTACTAAGCAGAAAATCTAAACTTTCCATTGAAAACAAGCTACTGATCTACAAGACAATACTGAAACCTATTTGGACTTACAGACTAGAACTGTGGGAATCAGCAAAATTTTCTAACATCAAACGCATCCAATCCTTCCAGTCAAAAGTCCTTCGAACAATTGTCTATGCTCCTTTCTATGTGACCAAAAAAACCTTACATCATGAATTCAACATCCCATTTGTCCTAGACCTTATCCCAGAAAAATTCTCCAAATTTCACCAGAACCTTACGTACAGCCCAAATCCTCTTGCACAATCCCTATCAAGCACTTCCCATCCCTATAATCCTCCAAGATGGTTGAAACGGCAGTGGCCTCGCGATCTTTTGTAGATTGTATATATTGAAGTTTTGGCAATGGCCAGATTCTTCACTCAAGACATGAGTGTATGTGGCTAAAGTGCTCTCGATCAATCTCTGCTGGCTTTAGTACCAGTGACGCGGTTGGGAGAGTAGCGCAGGGTTCTCCTGGAGTTCCCTCGCCTGATTGTATATAGGTATGCATGTTTTTTTTTTTTTTTGCTTAGTTTTAATTTTCTTATTTTTTAGGTTATGTTATTTTATTATCTATTGTATATACTTTTGATTATTATTTTGTTCTATTTATTTATTTTATTTTTTTTGTACATATAGTGTGAATGTCATCCTACCTCACTATAACCAATGTCCAAGAGACCGATTGTTATAAAAAAAAAAAAAATTAAATAATATTCTTTTGAGAATACTAGTGTACTGTTTTTGTTTTGTACATTTTTAAAGAAAACTACAAATATGATTTCATCTGAATAACATTCAGTGGGGTAAATGTAGTACAGTTAGAGGGTGTTAAAAAAAAATTAAAAATAATTTATCACTTTTCTTTAAACGGAACATGACTGTGTTTGTCCGACCAATAGTCCTAAATAGTATTAAAAATTACAAACTCTGCATTTTGTTTAGTTTACTGTGGAGCAATGTTTAGTTACTTAAATCAAATATTTTTTTCCTTTTTTCTGAGAAGTTGTCTATTTATTTTTAGTTCTTTGGCAATAATAACTTCCAATTGGTAACAATTGAGTATATTTCTATTATCAACGTTACATGTTAACAAGTTAGTTGACGTTTCGGGATACTTATTTCCATCTTCGGAACCGCAATCCCAATTATCTTGTGGACGCAAGGCTAAACATTTTTTGAGTTATAATATTGTGCTTGTTACATTACATGTTTGAATTTTGTTGTTATAATAAATTTGTAATTACCTTTGAATTAATAATAATGTGCTCCATCGTCAAATTTCTAATTCATGTTCTAAAATGTATCATCTAGAGCAATATCCTGCTTTTGACCAATAATTGGGTATCTGCCATAGTGAAAAAATTTATCTTTGGATCTGACTGTTTTATCTGACTATTTTTATTATTGTTGTTAATGTTTATTTATCAGTAATTATTGCCAAAGAACTAAAAATATTTTTGCTTCAAAAAGCTTTTAAAGCTCAAGCTTTAAAAAACACAAATCTTAAATTTCCTCAATTTCTGCTGGAAATTAGGCCATTGTTTATATGTACTTTTTTGTAGATGTTGATGTCTACTATCAATCTTTTAAATATGTCCCTCTACTAAAGGCACATGCGGATCTACAGGGGGGAGGGGCTTTCGGATGGAGCCCCCTCCCCAAAATTGTAAAATGTGACCATGTTTTATGGTAAAAAATTATGTCTTAAAGTATTATTGCTCGTTCAATTACATTTAATAGGACTTCAAGTATCACTTAAACACCATTTCATATAGGTAGTTAGTATCTTTCTGTTTTTCCAAGGTAATTATCGTTATATATATGAAAAAGAAAAAGCTTCTGGGCTGAAGCCCCCTCCCAAAATTAAATCCTCGATCCGGTAGTGCTTACTGGACACCCTGTATATACTGTGATTTCAGAAGATTCATGGAGGAAGTCGAAAGTCAAGCCAATGGATAGAAAAATTATAGAAATAAATAAGAAAATTTATTTACTGATATTATTACTGATTCAAACACCATTAAATTTCCCAGATCAGATAATTTTAATGATAGTAAAAATTCTTTACAGGTTTAGGAAGAATAACAGGATTAGATCCAGCGGAACCATATTTTCAAGGAATGCCCAGCGAAGTTCGCCTTGATCCAGGAGATGCTCATCTGGTTGATGTTATTCACACAGATGGCACCTCAATCTTCTTGTTGGGTAAGTCAGTTTAGGATCAACATAAATAAGTAAAAATAAAACTACAGTGCTTACTTAAGATCACACGATAGAAGTGAAAACATCAAAAAGACAGAATTGATTATAAGAAATACTAGTAGGCCCGTGCGAAAAATTCGCACAGCATATTGTTATCAAATACCAGATTAATAATAAAATAAAATAATGCAACGTATCAAAAGATAAAGAAATAAAATGTTACTTTATCGATAAATATAATCGAAAAATAAAATAAAAATTAATTTAAATCTTCATTTTTGTTTGGAACCAACGTGTTTACAAATTTCAGTAAGCTGTATCATTGCTAAAATTTGCCCGATTTCAATGATTTTTTTTTACTTTCCTACCTATACTAGGTAGGAATTTTCGACATGCGGTTTTCGACGGATCTACACGTTTCAGAGCCTCCTGAATCCGAAAAACACATTTTTAGCCATTGGTCTGTCTGTCTGTCTGTGCCAAGATTTTCTCGGGAACTACTAAAACAATTTTGTTACTTCTTTTTTTATTTTGTAGAGTTTTGACTACTGATGGCTGTGACAGATATTCGGTGCTCCATGCGCAATAAATGAAAACATGATTATCTATAGACTGTAGCTCAAAAACAGTTCTAACGATTTTGATGAAACTTTCCTATAATTTTCTAATCATTGTTCTTTCAATTTTCGTATATAGACTAAATTCCCCAAAAAATTCAGGAAAAAAAGTTATAAAGAAAAGAAAAATGTTTTAGGGCCTAACTCCGTAAGTATATATTATACGGTAAAATTTATAATAAAACTTTTGAAAGGTAATTAAATTACCAACAAAACAAAAAAAAAAATCATCGGAATCGAACCAGTATTAGCGATGATATAGCTTATTCTATTTTTACGAATTTTTTTTAACTTTACTTTCCTACCTATACTAGGTAAGGAAAGTATTGCAATCGGGTCAAATTTCCGACATGCGGTTTTCGACGGATCTATACGTTTCAGAGCCTCCTGAATCCGAAAAACACATTTTAAGCCATTTTTCTGTTTGTTAGTTTGTGTGTGCCAAGATTTTCTCGGGAACTCTCCATGTATTTAAATTTAATTAAATTAAATTAAAATATTTTAGTGCAAATGTTCAAAACATTCATTATTATTTGGTATTTTACTCGAATGAGTGTTACATATCCAAGCCTATAAATAGATGTATCGATTAGAGATTACTATACAATATTTCTCATATATTCAGGTATTTGATACATTCTTGTAACATTTTATGGTACTGCTATTTTAAGGAGTTTAATTATTTCACCAAATTCTTTAATGCTAATTTAAACTTTCCTGAAGGATATGGAATGGTTGAACCTTGCGGACACTTGGACTTCTACCCGAACAATGGGAAGGAACAACCAGGATGTGATATAAGCGAGAATCCACTTCCTCTGACGGTGATCAGGGAAGGGATTGAGGAGGCATCCAGGGTCCTCCTCGCCTGTTCGCATGTCAGGGCTGTCAAGTTCTTTATCGAGAGTATCAACACGCAGTGCCCATACCTTGCCCACCGATGCCCTTCGTACCAGCACTTCTTACAGGTTGCTATAATAAATATTATAACTTTAATAAATTATAATGTAATAAGACAATTTAAAAAAAAAATCCGTATATCATCAGCGATATCATTCAATGTGGCTTTTAATAGATAGAATAACTGTTATGAAACCATTTCTACAGCCATATTACAATAGCCTGTAAGTGCAAAACATAAAATTATTTATAAGGAATAATAAACCATGTATTTCTTATTATATGAAGTAGATTTTCTGTTCAATTTTTATAGGATACTTAAAGCAAACATATAATGTTCTAAATAACGTTTTTATGAATATATTCGAGATGTAGATGAACTGTCAAAGCTCAAAATTGCACATTCTAATTAAATTTTACTTACAGGCTTATACAGTATGGTTGGCTATTTATATAATAACACCTTACTGCAATACGTTAAAAAAAAAACAACATTATATACATTAGTCAGAAATTTATTGGTTATCAATCAAAATCCTATTTATTGGTTATTTAAAAATTCAATGTTTTGTTGTTATTTGAAGTATGAAATTCAAGACTGAAAAAAATCAACTTTTAGTTTTAATCAATTCCAACATCACTACAATTTTTATTTTTTATTATTTAGTTCAATCAAATTGATGACAGCAGTATTGAAATGTAATAAATAAAATTTTCTTTGATACTTCTTTCATCCTAATAAACTGCAGCTCCCCTCCCCATAATGATAAAATATAAAACATGCCTTATGAAAAAATTATCTCTTAAATTATTATTTAAGTACATGTAATTACATTTAACAGGACTTCAAGAATCATTTAAGCACCATTTAAAATAAGTTTCTTCCAAAGTAATTATCATTTAAAAAAAATAAAAGTTCGGGCTGAAGCCTATAATAATCCTCCCCCAAAATTAAATTCTGGATCCACTACTGACGATAATGCATAAATACATAGTTGGCGCAAAAACCCGTTAAGAGGTCTAGGCCTCCTCCAAATCCAAAAGTCTCCGCCAGTTGGCTCTGTCTGTTGCTGCAACTATCCAGTTCCTAACGCAGAGGAGATTGTGTACATCCGCTGTGACGGTGTCAGACCACCTTACATTTGGCCTACCCTCTCTATGCTTGCAATGAAGCTCTTTGGCCAATGTCCTCTTAGGGATCTAGTCCTCCTTTATCCTTGCCATGTGGCCCGCCCATCGGAGTCACCACAGCCTTGAAAGTTGCTTATTCTTCCTCCTTTTCCAGGTCTCTCCCTCTAGACCTGGGCCGAAAATTCTTCTCAATATCTTCCGCTCAAACACCAGATGGAGGTTCTCATTGGCTCTGATGAAGGTCCAGGTCTCTGACCCATACTTAAGAACCGGACGAATCACGGTCTTATATTGGCTGATCTTGGTCTTGTTGGAGAGGTGTCTGCTCTTAAAGTATTTTGCTAGCCCATAATAGCTTCGATTGGCTGTGGCGATTCTCTGGTTGATCTCTTGGGATAGTTCATTTTGATTGTTTATTTCTGAGCCCAGGTATACAAAACTTTGCACTCTCTTGAATCTGTATGGTCCACGGACGATAATAAAAAATTTTAATTATTCTATATATTGAATTTTGATTAAGAAACCTTCATGTTAAGTATATAGAGATTCGGCTGTAAAAAGTTCTCATTTTCAGATTATTATAAAGTATTGTTTTACTGTTTATATAAGGAAAATGATATTAATCTGAATGAATAAAAATTTGAAAAACAATTAATTGTATATTCCAGGGCAAGTGCTTCAGTTGTGGACCAAATGGCACCAACTGTGCCTTCATGGGTCTGCACACGACTCGTGGTTTGTTGCCACCCGGTGCCAAATTCTTTGTACAGACTGGCAAAGAGCCACCATTCTGCAGTAAGTAACATTATTGAGTTCAATATTTAATAATTATGAGTAAACAGTTTATTGTTTTCATAATTATTTTTTAAAACACTCCACTGTAGTGTTGCTATAAATTATAACTTGACTAAAATAATAGATTTGTCATATTTTCACTTATATTTAACATATTGCAAAATTGAAATATTTAGTAATTGAAATGACCTTACGAGTTAATTCGATCTTCTTAGCTAATCATTGTGATTTATTACAGGAAGACACTACAGAGTGACGGTAGAACTGGCCAGACCTCCCAGAGCGGAGACTTGGGTCCAAGGATTCATGAGGGTTTCTTTGCACTCGGACCAGGGCAAGATAAGAGATTTAGATCTCACTCCAAAGTATGTTTCAAAACTTCAGGACAATTTATTTATTCAAATTTAAGAGGAGTATTTTTATATTTTAATTTTACTGGTGCGGTTGAAATAAAAAAAACAGAAGCAAGTTACAAAATACATTCAAAAACTGTTTGTAGGAGCTAAATTAATTGAATACCTGTTTTGCAGAGTTATTATTCAAATGATAACAATTTTAATTTTAATTTAAAAATAGCTTTCATTCTTTATTTATAGTGCAAATTTAATATCAGATCCTATACAAATCCAGAATGTTTGCTGAGGTGAGGAAGAACAAAACTGTTTTTAATTTATTTTCTTGCTGATATTTCAACCGATATTGTTATATGTCATCATCATGCCAAAAAGAGAGGATAAGAGAGGGGAAGTATCAGGAAAAGGAAGAGAGAGTGGGAAAAGGAGGAAGTGGGAGTGGGGAGGAGTTGAGAGAGAAAATGGGATTGAGTGTGTAGGGGAGACATAGAGTTTAAAATATTAATTGTTTTTGTTGTATATTGATATGTTAAATATTTAATTGTTGGATTTTTGGACTCTGATATATATCCATATATACATATAAAATAAAATATAAAAATAAATATACAAGTATATTAGGTATCTATACTAGGTATCTAGGTTTTTTTTCACTATTACTATGCCAATTTTCATATAAATTTGTATACATAATACCATTGTCATCATGTTAAAGTAACGAATGTTCATTCCCATTCCCAACATTACACATTCTTTACTTTAACATGGTGCCGATGATATAAACTCCTCAACTTTTTCTGGCTCATCAATTCTCCCAATAAAAATTGGAATATATAGGGTGCAATGAATTGGATCATATGATAAATGAAAGCAAGAAACTAAGAGCTTTTGTATTAAAAAAAAAAAAAAATACTTGAAATATGAATATGTTTAACAAATGCTCAGTATTATCGAAAATCCTAAAAAGGATTTTAGAACTACAAAGCTTATTTCATTTCAGCTCTTATATTGGCCTAAAATAAGACTTGAAATGATGGTGAAAAATTAAGTGTAATTACCCTATCATCGTCAATCATGACATAAGTTTTATTCACTCCGATTGATACCTATTGAAGATATGCTGGATTTATTTATTTAATGTATTTAATTTATCATTACATACAATCAATCCTGTTCATGTTTTGATTTCAGACATCAAAATGTCCTCTCTTGGCATTAGAATCAAAATGGCAGGTTATTGTATAAAATTTGTAAGCATAATCCCAAATCTCAACTGTATTATAGAAATTATTTGATGATGTATACTATCCAATTGTATTGATCGAAATGCCTGTTTAAGGATGATATTAATAAAATACGAGTGAATATAAATAGAATTTATAGATTAGTAATTTCAGCAGAACTTAAATTTCAAAGTCTAAGAGGACCCAATCACTCCAGGATTTATAATTATCTATTTCGAAATAACAATATTAAAGCCTTAGACATTTAAGTTTCTATATTATATCCATTCGTATTTTTATAGTGTTATTTTTATTAATTGGTATTTTGTATGATACAATTAGATATAGATTATTGAATTGTTTTTGAAGTTTCTTGCTCATTTATTTTTTCAATATTATTAATGTTAATAAAATGTTTATGTATTCTGTTATGCAGTCTATATATCCATAAGACTTCCCAGTTACCCGGCAGTAAAACTTTTTTTTTTAATATAAAAGAGGTATTAAGTTTTTGAGTAAATGCACTAATTATTTAGTATATTGCAATATTAATGAAATCCATTAAAATATTTAAAGCTATCAAACTTAATTTTTTTTTAAATTTTAATTTTAATTTTAAAATTTTGCTTGATATATATTTATGATCTCTTATTCTAATGTCAGTTGATAATGTTTTTTGAAAGATATTTTTGTTTATATTCTATTTTGTCAGGTTTCTCCTAATCTCTGTATACAATGGGAAACATCCAATATCTGTTTTATCAGAGGTCAATAATTACAACAAAACTAGCAGAAAATTACACATATCTAGACATTTAGTCGGAATTAATTTACTTATTTCTTCTAATTTAATTGTTTTTTATTTTACAGTGGTTATGAGAAACTGGAGCATGGTACATCGAGAAGTTTTGTGGTCTCCCACATTGAAGAGATTGGCACCGTGACAAGAGTAGAAGTGTACTGGGAATATGACATGAATGTCCTGCAGCCCAGGTCCATCTGCTTCTTGTGGTGCAATGACCACCTCTACGTATCCTCAGTCAGGGTGTCGGCCTCCAAGATTCTCAATTCTAGGGAGTAAGATATTGTCTTTGAACTAAAATTGCTTCATAATTTTATTTAGATCATGATTTTTCTCATCAAATGATTGATTTATAACGTATAACGGAATATAAATAGTCTGTTACAAATGTAAAAAAAATTTCCATTAGCATTACAGATCATGTAGACCTTTTGTCGCCTCAACAAGCCTAATCTATCTATGCTTATCTTCGCTATTTCTTTCCAATTATCTGCATGGAGCTCTATTGCATCATTGTTGATTTGATTTATCCATCTGCTTTTTGGCCTTCCATGTGGTCTTTTGTCTACTTATTGAGGCATTCATTGTCGTGTAGAGACAGATTACTCTGAGCACAGGTGGATCTACGGAGAGGAGTGCTTTCGGGTTGAAGCCCCTCCCCCAAAATGGTAAAATATAATCATGTTTTATAAAAAAATTTATCTCTAAAAGTATTATTGTTTGTCTAATTACATTTAATAGTACTTAAAGAATTATTTAAACACTATTTCATATAGGTAGTTAGTTTATTTTTTTCTTCTGAAGTAATTTTCCTAATATATACATCCAAAAAAATCTTTTGCCCTGAAGCCCCCCAAAAAATTAAATCCTGGCTCCGTTAATGGCTCTGAGCGAGATTCCCCACCCATTTTCAACTTCTTGCCTTCATGTCTCGGGGTATTGATTGACCCATTTTTGTAAACAGCTCTTTATTGGTCTTTCTTTTCCATCTGTCAGTACTCTGATCCCAAATCGCTCTGGTTATCGTGCTGCAGATTTTTCTCTCAAATCTTTCAATACTTTTTTCTAGGTCTTGCAGCCATATATTACAATTTTCTTTCTTCATTGTAAACCCTTAATTTAGATTTCTTGACATTTTTTGGGATTTCAATACCTTTGAATGATTATGAGTACGGTTTCGACCACTCATAGTAATATAATTGTAATAAACATTGTAAAATAAATATTAATCATTTTTCTAAAAAAACTCTATTTCAATTTATAATAATGTATGACATCGGTAGGAAGCGAGCGGTGGACGTGGTGAGTAAGCTGTGCAGTCCTGGTCACCGTGGCTACGCAGATATAGCTTCCAGGTCTACAGCCCTCTTCTTAGACAACTGTAGATCTGACTAAGTCATCAAAAATGGTATTCACCAATGACTGCTTTCTCCTGTGCCCTGTGATTCCTGGGCATGGATTGAAGAATAGAGAACATTTGTTTCCGACCATTGACAATTACTATTTTACTTAATGTAAAATATCAAGCTCACAAGGAATCACACTTAAATGTAAATAAATATTGTATATACCCTATGTAATGTAAGCAAGTTAGATGATAAAGTTAAGAACATAAAAAGTTCAAATTATTTGTGAATATTGTTTTATCTTTATTATTTATTTGTTTTTCTAACTGTAATATTATGAATGAGATGTTTTTACATTGTTATTATTGTTTCGTTTTTTGTTTCAAGTTTCAGGATTTAAATATATAATTTAAAACATTTAGAATAATCTTATGTTTTGGAATTCTTAGGAAATATGCCTGTTCTAAATAAAATGCAAAATCAAATAAAAGTTGTGTCATTATGTAAAATATCTGATGACATAAAAATGTCTACTAGTCGATATTAAAATCTTTGTAAGCCATTATGTTATTGTATGAACTGTCAATTATGTATGTGTTTCTGTAATTTAATAAATATTGTAAATTTGTTATGTTTTAAAGAGCCTTTTTCTTATCTTGTATATGTTAACACAACTGCTAATATGCAACAGGGTACTACATCTTGCATTATATTATCATAATTTGTAAAAATTAACCTATAAAATAATCAAAATTATTAAAGCCCTCTAATTTCTTAGAATTTTTAATTTATTTTATTTAAGATTTTTATTATTAAACATTTTAATATTATTAGTATTTATAACTCTTAAATAATTACATAGATAATGAACTAGTGAAACTAGTAATGGATCCAGGATATGGCGATTGGGTCTACAGATATACAGATAGTTTGATGGCTCAAATCATTTGGTATGATCCCCTATGTGTTTCAAAACAATTTGAGCTAAATATACTGACCCATTGTTAAATAAAAGGTATTAAATAAGCTTTTTAACGCTGTTTTGAGTTTAATGGATCAAATTATCCAGAGAGATACTCTGACATTGGACCTTGGGAACATTAATTCAACATGAGGAAATGTACAACCTTACTACTGAAACATTTTGGTAGATTGATTGAGAAATTGACATCTACGAATATTTAATCTTGGTGTAGTAGTTGGATTCCTATCACACCTCAAGACTCTTTCGGATGTTAACAAGCACCAATACATGGGACGAAATATATTTGCCTAGAGGTGTAATCTGTAGTCAAAGAAACTCAAGTTTAATTCGCAGAAGCCAATTTCAATATCAGTCTACCAAAATATTTTAGTAGATATGGAAGTACTACAAGTCAAAAAAAATTTGTATAGGGTGAATACAATTTTTCAATTTCTGTAGTCGAGGATTTTTTTTTTTTTTAATTAATATATTTTTGTATACAGTTTGTAATTAGATCCTTGAATGTAACCATAATAAAGGAGTTATGGTATATTAGCCAGTTTAATTTATGGAACATAAGGTATTATCACCTGTAAAATAAGAAAGTTTACAATTTACTTTTTAAAGATAACCAAAAATTTTAAATAAACATAAATCAGTATGGTAAAATGGTATAGAATCTTTCAAGTTTCAATTTGTTAAGAATGGAAAACGAGTGATGCCTCAGTTGAAGCTGTCCTATTTATATACATAAACAAAATTAGAGGTAAACAAAATTTAAATGATACATAGCTCGGTATCGGTAAACGTACATTACTCTGAACAATGCTTTCCTAAACAAGAATCCTACAAGTTTCAATTCAGTGGCCTTGAAAGACGAGAGGTGGTTGAAGCCATCGCCTATAAACATTCATATATAAATATATATAAATAACTTTCTGTCTAGCTTATCTTTTATTTCTCATTTGTAATTATTTATTGAAGGATTGGATTATTTAATAATTACGGAATTTATGTTTCGGGTCTAAAAATTGTTAAAATTTTTCAACATTTCAACTCGGCAATGGAGCTTAGAGACTGTTCTATCCTCTACTGAAAGGTGAAAATGATCGTTGTTTGGGCGTATATTTTATCTACAGATTGTTTCCCTAAATCAATTATTATACACACTACAGATGAGACTAGTATGGGAAAAGATGATATTCGGGAGGAGTAGAATAAAAATTTCAGACAGGAGCGAGTACATGCTTCCTTGCGGGCAGTAAATTCATATACAATATATACATGAATAAGTTGTAAAATAAATTCGGAGGAAATATAAATTAAGAATAGGAGTGAGCTCTAATCCTGATGCAGGACCGAAAATTAATAACAATAAGTTGCCGCTGATATTGAAACTAAAAAAAATAAAAAATGTGTTAAATGGATGTAGTAAGTATACTTTGACCTTAGAGCAAGCCGATTTCGGCAAATAAGTTTCGGTAACGTCCCAGGCATTTAATAGTGTTGGTAAAACGGATAAATAATTAAAAAAGAAATATAATTAGCGAGAAAGAAAAAAAACAGTACCAACAGCACGCGGTTTTCCCAGGCGGTCACCCATCCAAGTACTAACCACGCCCGACGTTGCTTAACTTCGGTGATCGGACGAGAACCGGTGTGTTCAACGTGGTATGGCCGTTGGCGAAAGAGTATCTTTCTCACGTCGACTTAGCCGGCTCGGCAAAATACTTACTATATGTATTAGTTTCGTGTTGGGCGGAATGGTGGAGACTGGTTGAGGATAAATGGAGCGGATATGTTGCATTTTAGCCAATCCAAGTTTTATCCGGCCCTAGTTTTGGAGGGAGGTGGAGTCGAGGGAAGTTAGGATTGAATTATATCTATCCCATTTCCAAGAAAAAGAAAATACATATAAATTTTATTCCCCTCCCCCTCCCCTGGTTTTTATCATTTTTACCCGGTCTTGTATTATAAGGGATAGGCAGGAATAGGTCCATTATGAGCAGAGGCCTCGAAGAAATTTTACGTATGATACATTCCGTCGCTGCTCGACAGATTTTAGAGTTTTATAATTAGATCCGCCGAGTGTAACTATTATAGAGGAGGTAAGAATAGCCAATTTAATTCATTTTCTTGACTAGCAAGATTATGAAAAATGAGGGGTTACGGTGACCTGTTGACGTCGAAGGTCCGTTATTAATTAATTTTTCGTATGACACTGAAGATGATAAAAAATTGCGCACGGCGGTTAAAATAAGTGACGGGAGGGATAGTACGTATGGAGGGCATCGCTAAGAGTGATGGCGAAACAAATAAATAATTAAAAAAGAAAAGAGAAAAAAGAAAAAAAAGTACCAACAGCACGCGGTTTTCCCAGGCGGTCACCCATCCAAGTACTAACCACGCCCGACGTTGCTTAACTTCGGTGATCGGACGAGAACCGGTGTGTTCAACGTGGTATGGCCGTTGGCGAAAGAGTATCTTTCTCCCGTCGAGTTAACCGGCTCGGCGAAATACTTATTATGTTGCTACTTAGACCATAATAGCTCTGTGGTGGGATATTACTCCCGAGAGGAAGGATGGAGACTTGATGATGGTAAGGTTGGCGGAAATACTATATTTCGAGCCTGGGGGAAGATTGCCCTAGCGCTAATTCGGAGGGATGTGCATTTAAGAAGTGATAGCTGTTAATGGGATCCTGTTTTAAAAAAGATCCATAAAACAATTCATACTATCATCATAGTAAGGATTAGCTGGGTAGCTTTGTAGGGTAGGCCAATTTTGAGTCTGGGGCCCAAGAAAATTTTACTTGCTATGGCTTAGCTCGCCCATGAGCCTCTTTCACGGTTTATAATTAAATCCTCTATTGGATGTATGATGGAGGAGGTTGCTATTGGGCAATTCAATTTATTTTTAAGGAAAATATGATGCCATTGCGAGCAAAATGGAAAGCTTTATTATTCAGTTTTCAAAGCTAACCAAAAATTTAGATGATACATAGTCGGGTATCGGTAAATGTTCACTAGTCCGAAGAATGTTTTCCTAAACCGGAATCTTACAATTTGGTGAGGGAGAGGATGGGACAGGTGGTCGATGCAGTCCCCTATTTCTTATATATTTATCTATTTTTTAAAATTTTTATATTCATAAATGACTTTCTGACTAGCTTATCTTCTGTTTCCCCCGTGTAAATATTTATCCAAAGGATTGGATTACTTAGTATTTTGGGGAATTTATGTTTCGGGCTTAAAAATTGTTAAAATTTTTCAACATTTCAACTCGGCAATGGGGCTTGGAGGCTGTTCTATCCTCTACTGAAAGGTGAAAATGATCGTTCCTTGGGCGTATATTTTATCTACAGATTGTTTCCCTATATCAATTATTATACACACTTCAGATGGGACTAGTATGGGAAAAGATGATATTCGGGAGGAGTAGAATAAAAATTTCAGACAGGGGTCGAGTACGTGCATCGTAGCGGCCAGTAAATTCATGCTGAAGGGAGAGTAACGGGGGCTTGATGGATTCACATTTTAGATTTTCCTTATGTGAGATCCTGGGGTATACATATCTATAGGGTGTGTTAATAATTACATGAGAAGAGAAACTTGATTGGATAATTGAAATGTAAGGTTTGTAATGATGTTAGGGTTGTTAGGGAAGTTGTATTCGCTTCTCCCATGGCTGGAGCCATCAGATAGGCCGTTACAATTTGTAGGATATATCTATTGAGTGATAATGGGGAGTCTCGTGAACGTTTTCTGCCCTTTCTATGGGAGTTTTGTTGAAAATTTGTCATGAATTTCTGGCTGGGTGATAAGGGAGTGGAGTAGGTGCTGCTCCTAGCGGATAATTGGTGAACCCCTAGGAGCTCGGGGAGCCAGCTATGGCGGTTTTTAACTTGAATCCGAAATGTTTTAAAGGGTAGAATGGATTTTAATTTACCTGGAATGTGCCTCTTAGCGGGTCTCTTTGTCGGAAAGAGGATTCTCATAAAAGGGATGGATAACCGTTAAAGTAAAGAATCTATAGGCTGGTTATAAAACACTGTTTCTAATTCATGTTATAAATTTCCATTACATTCTCTCGTCGATAATTGTTGGGATAGTTTTTTCTTCAAAAGTTTTGAGACTCGGCTGATAATTTATGATGGTTGTTTTCTAAAATAATCGAAATATTCCTCGCGGCATCCATGTTTTCCTAGATAGTAGGCTGGCAAAGAGACGATATATAGATGAATAAGTTGTAAAATAAATTCGGAGGAAATATAAATTAAGAATAGGAGTGAGCTCTAATCCTGATGCACGACCGAAAATTAATAACAATAAGTTGCCGCTGATATTGAAACTAAAAATAAAAAATGTGTTAAATGGATGTAGTAAGTATACTTTGACCTTAGAGCAAGCCGATTTAGGCGAATAAGTTTCGGTAACGTCCCAGGCATTTGATAGTGTTGGTAAAACGGATAAATAATTAAAAAAGAAATATAATTAGCGAGAAAGAAAAAAAAGAGTACCAACAGCACGCGGTTTTCCCAGGCGGTCACCCATCCAAGTACTAACCACGCCCGACGTTGCTTAACTTCGGTGATCGGACGAGAACCGGTGTGTTCAACGTGGTATGGCCGTTGGCGAAAGAGTATCTTTCTCACGTCGACTTAGCCGGCTCGGCAAAATACTTACTATATGTATTAGTTTCGTGTTGGGCGGAATGGTGGAGACTGGTTGA